TACGCGTATCTGTCAAGGATAAGCAAATAAGGTAGTGGAATTAAATGGAAATTACTAATCTTCCTCTCTCTTTCTTTCTACAGGTATTCCACTAAGACGCCCACATTCACCAGGATACAATTAATAGTTTTAGAAATTTAAAAATACGGTCTTAGGTTTATCGAGGTGTTACAATTATTAACTTATGGAACTAAACCATTTATTCACGTTCATCTGTATTTTTGTTCACATATGAATTCAAAAAACATGTTCAAAAATGCATTCGTAGATAGTTTGAGTACTTGATTCAGAAAATACAGGTAATATGAACAAAGGAACACATTGATTGATTTTAAAAAAATCCATACATGGTTTTTTATTTAAGATTTCATGCGTTTTTTGAACGCACATCCATTATTTTGCTTAAGAAAACAGGGTGTTTCTGTGGTGGGAAAATATATTTCCCTACACAGATTACAGATTTCTGTATCATGCACTGAAATCATCAGACGGTACCTCTATTTGCACTTTTAGATAAACTATGAAAGTCCATACTACTTGGAAAATGATGCTATAGAACGGTTTAGAAAATCCCAGATTTTTTGCTGATGGGGGCGAGGCATAGCAAGCCGTTCGATTGCAAAATTCTCCAAGTAGGAGGGACTTACAATGCTTATCTCTTAGCATAAATAGAGGTACCGTCGATTTTTCTTTTAGTGCTAGGTACTGAAATTCGACAGTGAGCGTTGAAAAGGGCCTACTTGCAATGATCGATTCTCTTCATCGATTTTCTCTTTACATTGCAACAGCTAAGCAAAACATTGCATTAGGTCCTTATTAATATTGACAAGAGTCTCTTCGTCGACTTTCTCCTTGAATCCCCTCGGTTATGTAAATACATTCCCAGGTATTTTCAGTACACAGATCGATAAAAGAAGCTTTTATCTAGCCTCTCTAATACGACAAACACAACAAGAAGCGGTTATATGCTCAAGTTATTAACGAAAGAGAAAGTCGACGAAAATATCAATGTTACTTAAGACCTAATGCAATGTTCAGCTTGAATATTATCTGAATTTTTTTTCAATGTAGTGCTGTAACAGGTTGTATAGGGATTTATGGCTAATCGAGATATTCCCGATCAACTACGAAATTTTGCATAACATTGGTGCAAAATTGTGCACTCCGTTTTTTGTGTGCATTTTTTTTTTTTAGCGTTTTGAAGTTGAATCGCTGTGGAAACCTTATTTCTGATCAATCTCATAACCACATAAAAAAATTCAAGAGCACAAATATCACCTCTCACAAAACTTATAACAAAGAAACTGGAACTTCACGTTTGCTGCAGTGAAGTACACAAGGAGTTCCAATTGTGTGAGTGATGTCACAACCGTCCAAGATTTGTGCCCTAAAAATCTTGAAGCCATTGTTGGGCGCTGCAATGAATCACCTGAAGAAAGCCTTACCCATATCTGATTGTAATTTAAGAACCAAATGGAATAGAATATATATTCGCATATGTATATATTTGAGGTCCTGAATTTAGTAGGAAATCCAAAATATGTACACAGGACCGAAATCATAGGTTACTTCTACTGTATTTTAAATCAATATCTAGAAAAATGCACGAGAATTTCATTACACAGCTTAACGTAGTCTACGTCAACCATGCGGTCGAGTCTTGTACACAACCCCACTATTTTTTCTAACACAACTGTCTCCATCCTGTCATATCTGTAAAAAGGGTAAGGATTTCTTGACTCTTCAGCAGATGCTGGACTAACTTATTTATTGTTTCCTGCCAGTAGTGTAGGAGTACGAGACACAGCTTTTATTTTAAATTTGGTTATGTAGGGAATATAAATCATTCAAACCCGTAACCGTAACAAAGATCACCTACCAAGGATACGTTATTAATCACACTTCGCTGAATGTATTCACAGGATTTCTTAGTCTTTCGTCTTCATTCTGACTACATTTTTTTGACTGAGTAATTCGGATTTGCCAGATTTTTCCTTAAATCTAAATATACGTTCTACAAAATGCAGCTGATTTCGATGTGCCGATAATAGAACAGCTGGTTTACACGCAGTTCAAATGGAGAGGTTGCCGAAGAAAAATTGGCTGCCGATAATAGTCAGAATCACCTGAGAAGTTTGGAGCTTTGTTAAAACACTTTCTAACAGTTTTGGACAATTCTGTCGATTGGAATGAATAGAGAATCAAGCAACAGATAAATGTTAGTAAATAAACACGTCATATGTGTGCGTGGCGCTGAGAAAATGCTGGCGGACGCTGCTTAAATTGAAGAGAATACGTTAATTCTCTTACATAAAACTCATTTCTCTAATACCTTTCAGCGAAAAATGATTCCCTTTGCCCTTTCAAGAATTTTACGGCTACGCCTAAGGTGATACAAATAATTATATTCCAAGTAGGATTACTTAAAATGTAAAAATGATCGCAAAAACAACACACAAATACTGACCACGTGGTTTTCTGCCAAAATGATTACAATTCCTTATGAGGGTTATATAATGCCGATATAGTGCATCATTAAACTAGCTAATGCTGATTAATGCATTGTTTGCATTGACAGTGCTGATAAACAGCTTGTTAGCACTAACAGCATTGAATGCAAGCTGACTAAATGCTCTGTACTTGCTCTTGGTTTTGGATTAATGTACACCTAATACCTCCTCCTGAGTCCTCCTACCACCATTGACCGGCTGTTTCTTAGCCCGTTGGGCTGATTTTTTTTATGGTTACTAGTTTTTTAAGGGTTAACACAATCATTTACTTAAAATCAGCTCTATTGGTTTAAAACAGTAAAGACATTGCGGTGGGTGTACCAGATCACCTACCGAGCTCCTGTCATCGATTTTTAAAATTACTCAATAATCCAGAATTAATCCATTCAAATCATTCAGAAATATTTTAAAATCTTATCTGTTGATTTAATTGATACCGCTTTAATGAAACCGACGTAACGTAGGGTATACGTCCCTAACCTCGGTCTAATATGCAGCCATCGATTACGTTTTTAATCATAACTCATCAATGAATTTACCTGCAAACGATATTCTACTGCTAAATGGTATGCTTAGATATGCTTATCATGTCGTTTGCTATCAGAAACCACGAAAAGTTGAAAAACTTACTTTTTTTAAGACAATAACTCACGAGGGAAATGTATGTAATATGGGTCTATTGTCCCCAAATTGGGTCTATTTATGGATGCAACTTCGTCCTATCTTGTTTGATCCTCAAAAAAACGCTCTTGGTAACGTTTTCTGATGTATTTTTTTTTATCACTATCACTGTTAACTTAATGCTCTTCATTCCTCAAAACATTTCTTAGAGAAAATTTTACGAAAACTACATTAAATCACTCAATTTAAAAATTAAAAATTAAAAATTTCGCTTATCGTCTTTTGACCGCAGAATATCTAAATCAGAACATTGTGATGTTCATTATACAGGTTTGGCAGAAAAAATCTCCCTTCCTGTTCGTTCCTTATCATCCAAATGCAAAACAACATTGTTGACGTTACTCTTATTGCTATATGCTGTCAAATGAATTTCATGGGCCATAGTTAGGAACATAGAAAAGAAATGTGTCCCTAAAGTTGGGTCCATGTTTTACTTGTGAAAACGTTGTTAAACAATTAAAATAAACATAAAATATTCAAACAGCAACTGTAAGTTTTACGTCTAGTGTGTATTATCAGGTAATTCCAATCAATAAATGCCATAATCAGGCCATTTGATGATCGTCAGTCAACCTTCCCATCTTAACCTTATAAGTCATGGCGGCTAAAAACTCCGAACATTGTGATATTCTCAACCAGTTTTATTACTTACGAGAGCTGAAAATGTATTGAAATGTTGTGATATAAATTGATTTGTGTGTGGTACACATTTATCAACCATCAGTGATCAATATTTTCCTTATTTTTTGTGTAATATTCCTTAATTAATTATTTATTTGCGTGATAGGCCGAATGAAAGGACTAGACCCACATTACATACCGTAACCCTATATAGTGTTTTATGGCTACACGTTCCTATTATCGTGTGCTCCAATTTATTATGGCGTAAGAAATTCTCAAAGGTTATAATTGGAACGAATTGCCATGACTGGTACATCTACTATATGAGTTTGAGCTTACTGATTCAAATCAGAGGCTTGTTTTGGTCAGCGAACCAGTTCCATGCTACAAAGTACAACGAGACGTAGTCGAGGAAATTATTGATTAGGAAATTGTATCAACTTCCCCTATCATTCCACTGCTAAGTGAACAAACTTAATAACACATCAGTGCGATTTCAATAAAGTTGCGGAGTCCTACTTTGCGAATACAACATTTCAAATGAGTGGATGTAGTTTTGAGCTAAGACAAGACAAAATAACTGGCTTCTTTATATTCTGCTTCGCAGGTTTTACATTCGCTCCTGCAGCCCCTGTTGAACATTATCCGTGCTAAATCAATACAAACAATAGTTTAAACTTGAAAATCAACCAATCAGTGACTGGATCAAAAACTGGATCCAAATCTATACTCCAGTTTTCTCCACCTAGGTTTTGAGTAGGTATATGTCCATAAACGAAATCATGTAGAAATACATCTTTCCGAGAAAAAACAAAATCAGAACATTGTTTTTGTGCAAAAATGGGGTTTTAAACTTTGATAAATTTGAACTCATTGAAAACGCAGCCAGCAAAAAGCGCCACTTTAACGGTTATTGCGGCATATCCGAACTAGAGAAAGTCTCCATCGGGATTACCAAAAATCGTAAAAGCAGGCATTTATGTTATCCACCAAGAACATAGAGCGAGAACCTAACACTCCCTAATGTAATGCAGCACTCTTATTTGTACCAGCTGAATAATTCAACCTTTCCCATGTTCGGATACCAATCCAAAAAAAATTACTATCAATGTGAAACAATGTTACCGGTAACACATCTTGACAAGGTGCCCCTAAGTAGTCCTTTATTATTCATGCCAGCAACGGGAAGTAAATGTGTTTCAAAAGCAACAATAACAGTAACAGTAATTTTCAGCAACAATCCGCATTATCTGCTCGCTTCTACGGTGGAAGAATAGCCAACCATCATCCCAGGTTTTTTTTACCTAGCTCAATCGAAATAGATAGCATAAATGGTTGCCACGGCAAACAAGCTCGGTGAAGAATCGTAAATACAGGACACGTAGCTATCCTTCTCCGGATCCCACAGGAACTGGGCAATTGATTTCAGTCCTTGCATGTAGCGCTCGCCCATCGTGACGGTGACAACGATTTTGTACCTGTGAATGACAGAAGACAATTGAAATTCAAACAGAGAAGACTGGTGTACGTATGTACTTGGTCATGTTTTTAAATGACACACAAGTCATACACGGAATACAGCAAAGTAGGAAGTAAACATCGAGCACAGCTTGAAAAATACTTTTCAATCTCAATTAGATCACGTGTGTCGTATACAGATCACTCAACTCACTCGCTGGAGGCACCAAACCCTCATATCTTGGAAAACTTTTAGCTACCGTGCTGATTTTCAAAGTTCGGTAAGTGGGTACGCGCCGCATACTTGTGACGAAAGTTTATCAAGAATTTCCCCCCAGAAAATCCCATCTTGTCATCGGATGGAGTCTGCAAAATGTTAACTAATCAGAAACAAGCAAAAATCAAGATCCTCAAGCAACCCTCCGGCACATCCCACCGTAGAAGCATCGTGTGTACGTACGGCATGGCACAGATATTTACCCATATAATCGTATAACGCCGATACCGACAGCAACGGAGCGGAGGCAAGGAAATCCCCGGAAAGCTGGAAAATATAAGCTTGTTTTACAACGATGTATGGATTAAGCTGCAAACAGTATAGGCTTTGGCGTAGGGAGCAGTAGCTAGGTAGCAGCACCAGCATTGAATGAGACATTTTCCGATGGAACGGAACGAAACATGCTTTCGTGATAAAGCCGAGATCACACGACAGGCTGAACTCATTACGCTAGCATATGACGCCAGAAGAAGTCGGTGTCTGTGGCATACATGGAAGGAAACTCTACCGAAAATCCCCTCGAAATTTTCGCCACCGCCAACGTCTGTTCTAATTTGCTCTCGCTATAGCTATAGATAGTGAACAAACAATATTTAATTAAATTTCAATTTGCTCATTGTTGACTACTCGTTAAATTATCTGGGTTCGACAGATGTAAATGTTTGTACAAATGGGTGTGTGCTTAAAGTTTCAGAATGGATGAAACCAAGGGGCAAGACAGCTTTTGATCATGAGTAAAATCGGATTTAATGTTGAGTAACTCTGAGCTGCTTTGAGTACCTCGCGTTGATAAACATCAAATACACATAGCAACCTGATTTTTGTGTTGCAATATCTCATCATCGGTGGGCTGAAACAGATTGATATAGGGGAATTTACGTATTCTCGTCAATCTAAGCAGCGTCTGCATTTCTACTAGCATTTTCTCAGCGTCACGCACATATATGATGTGTCTGTTTGTTTACATTCATCTGCTGCTTGCTTCTCTATCCATTCCAATCGACAGAATTTTTCAAAACGTTTTGAAAGCGTTTTTACAACGCTCCAAACTTCTCAGGTGAGTGTGACTATTGTCGGCAGCCTCTTTTTCTTCGGCAACCTTCCCATTAGAACTGCGTGTTAACCAGCTGTTCTATTATCGGCAACTCGAAATAAACCCCATTTTGTAGTGCGTATGCTTCATTTGAAGAAAAATGTAGCATTACTGGATTGCTCGATCGTTCAAATATAATCAGATTGAAGCTGAAAGGCTAAACAATCGTTTGGACACATTCAGCGAAGTGCGTTGATGGGAAAACATAGTGAAATTAACGTTTAAATTTTGGTTGCCGAAAACAGTCAATGGGTGCCGAAGCCAACATTTACCCTAGGTACTTTTCTGCAATAATTTCATACGCAACTGAAAACTGGTGCTGAAGTTCTTGCGGATGAGATACTAGTGATGCTGGACTTGCTGGATTGTATAATTCTGTCCGGTGTTACAGAATACACGGACGACCACCAGGCTTGAGTTAACGGATACCAACACCGATCGGATGGATCTATTTGCAGAAACAATGGTAGTTGTTTTGAGATTGCGGCTTGTAGCGCCGTTTGTTTCTGCTTCTCTTAGTGTTTAGCATTTTGCTGAATCTCCATGAGTAGCATAATGGAATCCACCAACAAGAATGTCCAGCTGTTGAAAATAAGATTGCATGAAACTATTGTTCAAGCTAACAGGGAAAGTTTAACACTGAGCTCTCCTGGAATTCACTGTGTTTAAGCTCAAGAGCGGCTCATAAACTGTTATTCATCGCATCATTTTTCATTTGACTTCCTCCCTTGACAACTTTTAGAAGTAGCATCCACAAGCACCAGGAACATCGCCACGAAGCTTATATGCAGGAGGAAAAGAAACGTCATGATGTCATTAAGAAGGGCTAAGATTGTCCCCAAATGCCACCAATCGAATATCTCCGGGTACAATTTGAGCAAGGCCTCGGTGCAATAAATCTATGAGCTATCTTTTTCACCACAAAGTTAAGTCTTATTAAGACTACTTAAGATGGGAACAATGGCGTTGCGAATATTACTCAGAAAAACTACGACCATGGCCCTTATTACCGATGTCACTTCACGGTGAAGTGATTCCCACGGCTATCACTTCACAACAGCAGTCCCCGAGGAGAATTAAAACCTGTCTAAGCGACCACTTCAAGTTCCTTGTGTTCAAAAGGCTACTATCGATGAGATATTTGTCACGTTCAAACAACTGCCAACTAACAATCCGTCCGAAGAGATTTCCAGGTTAGAGGAGCGCTTCAAGTCACATCTTCTATGGGATATCGTCTGAGTGATATAGCGTCCGCCTATGTAGCTCAATCTAACATTGTAAAGTACAGGCAATCAAGAAAGAAATTCTACAATTTTGTTAATTGGAGTATTTTATAAAGTTAAAAGCTCACTTAGGTTAATAATTTTTTGAATGTTAGTATTTGTTTATATAGTACAACAATGCAAACCATATCTATAGTTATTTCACTTTCAGCGAAAAAAAAATAGTCCTGCCGCAAACCCGTTCTGGTCTAAATATCAAACGTATTCTACCACTTCTAGCACAAGATTACACTTCCTTCCAATATCCTTTCGACGACTTCTAGCCAACCCATTCTTGATGGCGTCCCCGGGCTTGTTCTTCCGATGGTCACGACTAGTTTTGGAACGCCACTGATCATATTTACGAGCAAATAACATTCCTTCCCACTTATTACTTTCTAGATATAAGGAATATTCTCGCCGCATACGTCTTCCTGTCGTGTTAACGAGTCCTTTGATATAAGATTTCATTAGATATCGTATGGTTTATACGCTCTGGTTGTGCATCCAGACAGAAACTAATACACCAGATGAGGTTCACGAGTCGAGGGTAGATTACTCCGTCATCGTATAAAAAAGAATGCTTAAGCTGCGATAAATCTTGTGTTTTTATAAGAATCAAATCCTTGTTTACGATACCTTGACAACTAATGCGGATTGATGTCACATAGCACTGATCAATCTGTTACAATTTTATCGGTTACTAAATTTAACAAATGCATGATTTCAACTCAAATAAGTCAAATCTCGGGTAGGTAGATGACGTATGAAGGTTTGTATATGCTGAACAAAGCGAGACTACTTTGATCAGTATTGAGTAATTATGAGTTGCTCAAATCTACTCGCTGCGAAACTATTTGCTCTGAGTACAGCTGACTTGCCCCTTGAATGTTATGGTTTGAAAGCAAGGATAAATCGGATTGAGGATTACGCGGGAAATGGCGAGTGTGCAAAATTTTGGTGTTTTGCGTTCATAGGATAATAAAAGTCCTGTGTTTTAGAGTTTTATAATGCCATCAAAGGCAACGCAGAAACCTAGCCGTTCGTGATGTAAAAAGCAACGATCTATCAGCGGCTGAAAAGTGTTCGAACCGGTGGGGAACACTCGGGGGAACATTGTTGGAGACCGACTATGGAGGATGATGAATAGACTTCTGTAGTTTGTTTTGTGTGAGTTGTAGCATTATTTGAATTAAGGTTACTAATGGGGTCTGATTTACTGCCCCTTTCTCTACTCTAGAACCTATATTTCGTATTAAGATCTATAATTGAACTGCTGGTCTGAGTTCCTTTGGTATATTCAATTAGAGGATGTTCCTGAACATGCAGTCAAACAGCACGTAATGTTGTGAACCACTTCAATGACAGCACTGCTGGACAGCTCCCATTTTATTCACCACAATCCAATGCCTATGAGATTGTGCCGAAGGTTTGCCGAAGATCTGCCAAAGTTATCCCGAAGGTGTGCCGATGGATGTGCCCAAGCTGTGCCGAATGTAATTTCGGCACAATGTGCTAAGTGACTTACCCCTTGGTAAAAGGTCACTTAGATACCAATAATTTACATTTCAAGTATGTTTTTCAAAAATTCTATAATGCAAAATGAAGTATTTAATTATTTATTTATTTGTTGAGGGGGAACAGCTCGGCTTTAGTAGGAGCACAATTGTACTTCCTCATACTAGCCCATAGCCTCATCTTTTAGTACCAACAGATAAAATCCTATAAAAACTTCAAAATTTTAACCATAGCGTAAAATTTTGCCTCGTTTAATTGTGAGCTAAAGATAACATAAACAAAGAAAATGTTTGCAATATTGTTTATAACACAGTGGTCCAGAATGGGAATTCAAATGTCTATTGTTGCAATTGCAAATTTGCCAGGAGGAGTGCCTACGGAAGAGACTTCTGCCTTTTCTGGAGCAGTATGAGGTTGATTGCCTATTCTGGCCGGACTTGGCTAGCTGCTACTACTCAAATTCCACCGATCAGTGGTAGTGGTTTCCAAGAAGTAACGAAAGTTTTGCTTTCTAGCCGACAACTGCAGATTGCTTACCAGTTTAATTCGTTCAAACGAATCTGAAGACTGCTCAACTGGAGTTGCTCTTCTCGACATAGAAAAAGCATTCGGCAGTGTTTGGCATGAAGGTTTGATTGCCAAATAGAAAAAGTTTAATTTTTCACTCTATATTATGAAATTGGTTCAAAATTATTTAACTGACAGAACTCTGCAGGTAAATTATCAAAAATCCAACTTTGAACGACTACCTGTTAGAAGAGGAGTTCCTAAGGGTAGCATTCTTGGGCCTATATTGTAAAACATTTTCACTTCCGACCCTGATTTGCCTCAAGGCCGGTGAAACAAGCATTTCCGCTGAAGGAAGAAGTCTTCGTGTTATTTGCAGCAGACTGCAGAAAAGTTTGGATATTTCCTCTTCTTATTTACAAAAATGGAAGATTTCTCCCAACGCCTCCAAACTGTGGAAGTGCTCAAAGAACGCTTAGTTGAGTTACCAATTTGTGTCCAATTTTAGTTCTCTTTGTAGTATTTGAAAGGCAATGAATGGATCTTCCTTCGTTGATATGTGGCTCATCATATTTATGTTTATACTAAAATTTCAAGTAAACTTACACCACCGACAAATCATACTGTGGGGTGACCCTAAAGTTTTGATCGATGACTTGAATAACTATTTTTTTATATTTAAAGCATATTCTAAACAAACTTTCTCAACCGTATATTGATGGGTAAATAATATGGGTTCTATTACCATTTCCGTTTCAAAATTTGGTCGACCCAATTCTAAGAGACTTGAATATTCAGTGTGAATCTTGGAAAATGTTGTAACTTTACGAGAAGTTTTAGTACACAAAATGTGTCAATCACTAACTACCATTCAAATGACCTATAAATATCGAAAATTGATCATAAAATGGTAGAGATTTGAGCAGAAAATATTTACATAGTTTTTAAAGGGTGACCCCAAACTTATCATCGGGAGTGTAAGTGTAGTCAGAACCAGAAATCTAAAGTAAGAAACATTTATGTTGTCCTCGGTCTGCGGCAACTGTCGGTGACTTCACCGCTTCAACGGACTAACTGATCCAAAACTACACAAATTGTTCAATGTTTTATTATTTGTGGATTGACTTTAAAGGCTTAGACCTTGACCAAAATATTCCGAAAACTATTTGTTTTACACATCCTGGAACGTTGAGTCGAATTTATTTACTTTGCCACTTACTATACTGTTCATGGAAAAGCCTAAAACGACATTGAAATCACTTGCATTGTAATTCAATACATTTTACACGAATTTTAAATGTGGGTCTCCTTGAAAAGAAAAATTCAGTAATCTACGACTTCCAATTCCCACACAAACCTTCAACACAAGAACGGCTACCTCCGACCATGTGCCTCCACAAATCTTCATAAATTTGTTATCTTGTACTCTCCATCCATCCAGCATCGAGCACATGCGGCAGCACGTCAACCACGCAGCGGATGTATGTAAACACACAACACGATACTTTATTACCCTTTTAACTAAAAACCATTTGTTTTCCGGTTTCGATTTTACGACAAACAGGGTCATAAAAGTTACGTCGATGTCGAAACATACTTCATCCCACCCTCGAAAAACGAAAATATCGACAACTTACCGATCGAAGTTCAACTCCTTCACTTTCGCTTTCACGTCCTCGCAAATCTGCTGACAGAGGGATGGCGCGAAATAGGAACTATACTCCACCCCCTGGAGTGCCTTGTCCAATGCTTCCCGCAAAATGACTTCACACGCTTCCCGGTTGAAGGGGTTCGTCGATTGCAGTCGATAGGACGGTTGGAACTTCAGCAACGGGGGCGAATCATTTGCGATCATGGTACAAATTGGGGGCGGCAACGGGACGTTATTGATGACCTTCAGATTGGTTATGGCCAGACTAACCTTACTCAAGTTGCTACTGTTGGCCCGGTAGCGATTGGTAATATTGAATGCGGAACCGAAGAATCGTCCCGGCTTTAGACCCGGTGTAGGGTTTACATTCGGCGAAGGTTTCCGAGGTAAAATAGCTGTTGCCGCAACCAGCGTCGGAACCGTAGTGACTGTGGCCATGGCCGCAGTATTTGGTCCGGCTGGCGCTTGCTGTTGCTGCTGCTGCCATTTCCAGTTTAATTAAACCACGTGTCGCATGTATCAGAGCGGGACGGCACCAGCCAGAACCAAATGACGAGCAAAATAAATAATAAGATGGAGGATAAAAGTTTTAATCAGTAGAAATATTAAAAATAGCGAAACGAACAAATTACCTCCATTATGTCGAAATGTTACCAGCTAGGAAGGCAGCGCTTGTCTTGGTACCGTGGCTGCCGGATTGCACAATTCCGCAGCACAGAAGCTACGAACCAGCCGGCGCAGTCCGTTGCTGATCCACGTGGGACGAGTGAAAATACTCTAATAAATAGTCCTTTGTCATGCTCGTATTCTTTTGCCTCCGTCCGGAAAAAGAAGTTAGTTGGAACGAAACTTTTCCAAACACACTTACTTCAGCCGCAAATTCAGGCGGGGGGTGGGGGAGGTCATCATTGTCATTGTGTTTTGCCTATCATCGTCGAATAACATAAACGGAACGGAGCCCCCCGAAGGGCTACAAAGCTCGAGCGTTTGATGTGGGTTATGGGTAAGTAGGGTAGGACAGGCCATAACGCACCCCTGGGTTAAAATCCCACTATCAATTCGTGAATTCAACGTGTAGCTTTGCTAGTTCAGTACACTAGGATTTTGGTACATAAAATCCCGAATTACCAATCGGAAAGTAACGAAAAAAGTGCGGGGTCATTTCACGTCAGGGGTGCATTATGGACTGTTCTCCCCTGAAGTGGGGGGAACCGAAGGACGAGTTGTCAATCCTTCCAGTTTGGCGTGTTGTAGTGTAGTGAAGCGTGTCGAATGCATAAGGTAAGCTTGATCATGATGCCGTTCTTGGTGAAAGTGATGGAACGAATGTTTTGTCTGTGTTCACTGAAAACTTCAGTTGTTGTTCGTAAGAAAGTTTAGTAATCTGGGACTTCGATGTCGAAAAGTATTGGATTAGTAGTTTGAATCATAATGTTTGAGTAATAAATTTTGGGGTGCTTTTTCGACTGTAATGTTGATAACTTTGGGGGGGGTGGTTTTCAACTCTCGCAGTCTTTAAAAAGCAGCTACGGCGATATGTTGCGTCTACTATCCGACGTTTCGATGATTTATGTCATCTTCTTCTGGGATTCTAAAATTGTGTTTATGTAATTTTTAAATTAATGTTAAACCTTTTTGAAAAACTAAGTTTTGTTGTGTTAGAAAACTTACGGAGGCTTCGTTGTGCTGTTGTATGTGTATGTGTTGTTCTACATTTAGCTGTCCTGTTTGGTGATGGCGTCCTACTACGGCTGTTATTAATAAATTAGTTTTTATATTTTCGGGAATTCTTCGCATTTTCTCTACTTAATACAAGCGTACAGATATTTTTGGGCTGTACTGTTTTTGATTTTGATTACTGACTTAAACTGTTCTAAAACTTTGCTCGCACCTTATTATTATTATATGAACCGAAATTATGGTCTCTTCATAGTAATTTCCATATAAACTTCAAATGATTTGTGCCAAGTCAGTTTCTTATCAAATGAGTTTCAACTTTCGGAGGCTAACCAGGACCTGATTTGAAACCGTTTGAACACTGTGGAGCGAAAATTTCAAATTTTGCATCAGTCTAGTGTACAGGGTAAGAAAAAAGTACCCAAAAGTAAGTTCTTTTCACTCATCTCAGGAAGCCAAAAGTAGGTAAAGCGGGTCAAAGTAGTTTTTATTAACTTGTGTGCAATTCGTATGGAATTTTCCACTCACTTTCTACCCAAAGGTAGGTAAATCTGATTATACTCAACGTTGGGCTCCCACACTTAACAACCCTTGTTGGATAGATTTGCTCCTCCTTTTTTGATAACATTAGAAGGAGAAAAAAAGACAAACGAAGTACAAAACAAAAGTAGTTAAAGTAAACTGGCCGCTAGGTACTTTTTTCTTAGTGTTTAGGTTACTCATGTGTTAAGTGACCTACGCTTTTAGAAATTTCTCCATACGAATGAGTAAAAGTGACTCACTCTCTGAGATAATTTGGTTTTCATTGTGATGAAAGTGGTATAAGACAAACTGACATCAACGTAATTTTAGACGGATTCCAAAATTTATCTGGCTTTTGGTCTGGCTAGGCAATGTACGCACTAAAAACTGAATGGAATCCCGAGCAGGAAAAATTAAAGAAAATGAACACAACACTGAAATATGAAATTGCATCCCTGAATCACTGAGTGGTCCAGAGTCATTGAACGAATTCTTTAACTATCACTCAGAAATCGAAGCTGAAGAACTATTAGATAACCCAAGTAACAATTTTGATTTCAAGCAGGCAGACCGACAGGCTATAATCATAAGATAAGAAAAAATGTTGGCCATCCCAAAAACGATAAACGGAAGAAGGTCATGGAAGAATCGAAAAACCAATGACATACAAATGGGAGCGCTCCATGATGAAAAAATAACTTGCTGACGGCGCTGGTTTTGTGGAAAAGTCAATCCAATTGTTAGCTTACTCTTCAATTCTGGTAAATGGTATCAAGGACTCATTTAAGACGAAAATAAACTGTTTGATCTAAGCAATCTTGTAATATGTACTACTGGACAATCATAACTTTACTAATCTTTTGATTTGGAAACACGCTGTAGGTCACAAGTTCAATTTACACCCCCGGAGATGTCATGCATAATTGTCCCATGTGTATATGAAACTCCCTTGCGACCAGTCTTGTAAGCGGTCACGGTAGTCGACACATTTTCTGTGATAATCGACTGCTTTTGCCTCCGACATTTGCAAAACGAACTATCATAGTACAGTACCAAACTAAAATGTCATATGACATGCTCTGTCGTACAACACTGTCTTCGAAGACCGTCACGAATGTATGTATTTTAGATTTTCTCATAATAACAGCTGCTGATATTGTGCTTGTGCGAATTTTGAAAAATAGCAAGTAATGATGTCCTAGTAATAACATTTCTGATAAGAAATGGTTTATTTTACATAAAATTGAGGAATTAGAACGAAATCACACATGTCGTATGATAGTTATTTGATAATTTTCTTTTTGCTCGAATGTTATTCTACCGTTTGTGTTGTGTGAGAGAAACGACAGTAGAGCATGAGTGTACGAATACAAACAGACTGTCGCGCACGATAACGAAGCGAGTGTAGTAAAAAACGTCGACTGTTTCAACCCCTGCTTGCGATTCCCCGGTTTTTGTTAACATTATCACGAGGAGTAGCCATCGACGCCTAACTTTAGGCATGTTCCCAGCAAGGGAATTATACATGGAGGCGAATAAACTTAAGAATGTCATAAGGCTCGACTTTCACCAGCTGCTGGGAGAACCATCCATCGTCCACATTGCAAAAATTGGGCAACTACGGTGGGCTGGGCACGTCGTAAGAATGCTGCACGACGACTCAGTGAAAATGGTTCTAGAAAGCGACCCAACAGGAACAAGAAGAAGAGGCGCCAAGAGGATCGACCAAGTAGAAGGTGACCTGCGGACCCTTCGCAGACTACGAGGCTGGCGAACTGTGGCCATGGATCGAGTAGAGTGGAGACGACTTCTTCGGACAGCAGAGGACAACAAGGCCTTAGCCTGATTGGTAAGGTAAGTAAGGCTCGACTTGTAAACAACACATATATTTTACGTAAGCGCGACATATGAAAGATTTGCGTCTAACATGAGGTAGCTCTCATATACGCCTTTAGCCATTCAATTTTCCCAAACGTTCATGTTTCGGTTTCAGTCTGCTCCGTTTGATTATATTGTTGTCAACATTATTTTTCATAAGGCAAATCAATGAAGGTCATACCATAGAGGTAACTCTAAGACTAGAAGGTCCCGAAATAACGTGCTCAACTTTTTGGCTCAGCTCTGGTACTCTCTTCGGTCCCAAGCGAATCGATTCACCCCTCGAAACATAGAAAAAAACCAATAACCCCTCATTTTAACTGTCAAACTTTCATAGCGAATCAAAACAAACATTGCGTAGTACTAGAATTTCGACTAGAATAGGGTACGTTAATCGTTTGCTTGTGACCAATAGGCTAGTAAAGTGGGGAGCCAATTTAAAATCGTTAGTTTCGTATTGATTGTTGGTCATACCGTTTTCTTGTGGCTAAAATTCATAAGTGGTTATGGAATTCTTAAGTTCTTTTGCCTCAGGGTATGACGTATGACGCACTACCTTACTAGGAGCTGAAACCATATTTCAAAGGGCTTTAACAGTCCTTTATCAAAGAACTTAGTTCTTTTATCAAGCAGTGCATCACAGTTGCACAATAAGTGTTCCGAGGTTTCAGGTTTCTCGTTACAAAAATGACAAATTTCATCTTCGACTTTTTTATTAGTCTCAGCTGGACATGAAAAGTTGTTTCTCTTCATGATGTTGACATTCTTAAACAAAAAGCTACCCATTAATGATCAAATTAAATAATTTTGGTATCCATGACAGATACGTGTTTTGACTACAATGTGCAGCCTTTATCAGTGACATTCCCACTAAAGACTTATCAAAAACCTAACCCCCTTAAGTACTCATCCCCTAGGTAAAAATGTCAAGATCACAGGTATAAATATATCCTTATTAGAGATTGGAATAGATTTTTCTCCTTTAATTTACTAAAACCTTTGGTTATTATTAGGTTCCGATTCTACACATTGTAGTTTCATTTTTATACCTGTGATCTTGACATTTTTACCTAGGGTGTTCCGCTAACAACCAAATTTCTTTACTTCATTGTAATTTAAACTTTTCAAATTTGTGTACATCAATCGAAACAAATAGACAAAATTATCATTCAGACTTTCGTGTTCATCGATAAATCATTTCAAATTTCAACGCACATTTCAGAAACAAACATGTGCGTTAAATCGAGGCATACCTGTATTCCATTAGGTGAATTGATTAGGTTGCGTATCGAACAAAAGTTAAATTTACTGCCATTAAATTAATTATCATTCGTGTCCCGGGTCCGCTTTGCCCTTCAACACGGTTGTTAACTGTCAAATTATGATTCATCTGATATGAAAGTGTTTTCCCCGTTCAAAGGATAATAACCTAGATTATAAAATATTCAATCCGAAAACTTTTCCTCGACCAACCGTAAATGTTACAGTTCATTCCGTTTGGTCGATAGTGAAGGCAGGTAAATATCAGCAGCTGTAGCAGCATCTTCTCAACCAGAAGTCA